TCATTTCTCGTTGCTTCGAATATTTTCCCGTTACTTCAATTATTTGCTCGTTGCCTCGACTCATTTCTCGTTGCTTCAAATATTTCCCGTTACTTCAATTATTTGCTCGTTGCCTCGACTAATTTCTCGTTGCTTCAAGTATTTTCCCGTTTCTTCAAGTATTTGCTCGTTGCCTCGACTCATTTCTCGTTGCTTCAAATATTTTCCCGTTACTTCAATTATTTGCTCGTTGCCTCGACTAATTTCTCGTTGCTTCGAGTATTTTCCCGTTACTTCAATTATTTGCTCGTTGCCTCGACTAATTTCCCGTTGCTTGTTTTGGAGAGTTCTCAACGTTTCCACCACATTACGTTATTGATCTGAACGAACAGTCTTCTTATATATTGTATAGTCAGTAAGCGTCGCCTGTAACTTGCTAGTGGACTCTGGCTAGAAGACGGACATGTATATATACTCTGCGAAAAAGAAACTCAAAAGTAGAGCTGACTGGGTTTTCGTGATTTTCATACAAAATGGAGACCAAATATGAATTTTTATATCTGCTTGGAGTGATTTTGCGGGTAGAATACAACCAAACATTACCGAAAATGTAAGGGAAACGCAAAAACGCAACCATAATGGAGCGTGGCGGTCAAACATATCAACATGAAATGAACATGAAACATGAATTGTTGGGCTGTGATAGCGACAGGTTTTGATTTGTCTATCATCACAATTATACATGAAGGTGTAAACATGCCACGACTGACAGATGCTCAGCGCAACAACGCCACATCGGCCTGCAGCAGACAGGCGACCCGGGTTCGGTCGTGGCCACGTTGTTCCACGTATCGCCAAGCACATTTACAAGACAATGGAACCGTTATCAGATAGGGTGACCAACCCAGATCCGGTCGACCGGCTACACCTGCAGCGCAGGACAGGTTCATACAGATTCGTCACTAACATGATAGACACACAACGAACACATCTACTACTACTGTCTACAGCTATATCAGGATTGAGTAGGATTATGGCCCAGACAGCAAGGAACCGTCCATGCGCGGCAGGTTTTGGCCCCAAAACGACCAGTTTAAGGCGTCATTCTGACTGATCAGCATTGTCTGCGGCGACGTCAGTGGTGTCAGGAATACAGACTCAGTATGAATACAACAGCGATTGTGATCTATTTGGTTTAATGGCGAGTTACGTTTTATGCTTCTCCGTACGAACGGAAGTCGTGTTTAGGAACGTTATGCGAGAAACTGCATACAGAAAGTGGACAGGTTTGAAAGTGGAGTGTAATGATGTGGACCGCAATCTCCCACCCACATCGGTCGAACACACTTGGTCCATGTCCAGGGCAATTTAACGGCACATCGTTACACTGATAAAATTCTTCGGCCACGTGTCCTTTCCAGTATGCAAACGTCATTTTGTCAACACGACAAAGATCGACCTCACCCGGCAAGACTGTCAAAGGCCTTTTTGAGGAACCACATCATCCTAGCACTGCCATGGGCCTCATAGTCTCTAGATCTAAACCACATCGAACATTTATGTAATGACCTTGATCAACGTCTGCGATCAGTCAGTTTGCACAGGCACTGCAAGACGAGTGGGTGAACATTCGTAATATGGGGCGATGGGGGCGATGATGCCAGGCAGTTCTGGATTCTTATCGCGGTGCCATACTAGATGTTAGGACATTAACCTGGATATTCGAATATTTCATGTGTACCATGATGAACCTCAGTCAGTAACAATACCTTGTGCCAAGCTTTGACAAATTTATTATGATCCGGTGATTATTTATACAATACATACAGTATACATCTGAAAACCACTTTTCTTTTTTGGCAGAGTATATGACGTGGAAACCTTGCTGAATACATTCAAGTTACACCAATGCATTAAGTATCATTCTGTGCGCACGAAACAAAAAAGAAAATTTATTCAATAATGTTTTCGATCAACACTTTAGTATCGGGTCGTGTTCTTTTGTATTTTCTAGAAAAGAAGATAGTCCAACATTGCGAGGATCATGCTTAATGGTGTGTACTTAGGTCTTCGTACTTATTGAACTATATCACCGACTTATTGTTTGAAATGGTCTGAATGGCTGTGATGTTTTTGGTCCAGTACATCAAATGGTCAGCCCCTCAAAACATTAGCGCTTACTTAAACCCCAAAGCCTATTAATTGTAGTTTCCCCTGAAGAGGATGAATGCTTGGGCAATAACCACGTTCAGTTAAATCAATGATCCCGTGCTACTATTTACAAATCACTTTTGTCTCAGTCCAACGCAAGCAGCTGTACATAATGGATGGCATGCATCCAGGTCCGTACTGAAAACACACACGCGAAACAGAACAGAATGAATCCTACATTGGCTCTATATTATTGGATTTCTGTTTGTGTTTGGATTCCATCTGTTATCGGTGAGTATATATTTCAGAGTACACAAGAACATTTAAAGATTTGTGACATTTTAGTCGCAGGTGAAGTGCGTATGTTTGCCTGACATTACTGTATCTGCCTGTAGCAGGAGGAGGACTTCTCATTGAAATAATGCAAAAAAGGGTAATCAAAGTAGAACACATTAATAACAATGTAGATCATTCTTTACACTTGGTTTGGATTAGTTTGTAAGCGTATATATAACTAGACTCAGCATTTGTGAGTTACTCAATGAATCTCTGTCTGATAGTGACTCAAAGGGTCGGTCAAGAAGGGCAGGAAGAAATGAAAATGTGACAAGGCTTGAAACTCATTCTTTCTTGAAGGGTGATCCCCTACACTCATTTGGAGAATGAATAACACAACAGGTGCATCTAATACTAGTTTTGCTGAACACAGTCTAGCACAAGTGACACCACTACTGGAAAAAACCCTGCTGTTTTAATGATGGGTTTGATGCCGCATAATGAAGGGGATAATTTTGTGATCTGAAATCAACTCTGACCAGTCTCAATATATATGGACATTCAGAGTATCTGTATTCTGCTACGTGACACAAAAACAAAAAGAAACGGCGATCACTTCGGTTTCAGCAAAGAAAATGAATGGTGCAATATGTGCTTGCTAGCGTACAAGGGGTAAAATCGCCATTCCATTTACTGAAACCTAGCGATGAGAATTGATATATATATATATATATATATATACTTAATCCCTTTATGGTCAAATGAATATGTGACCAATCAGATTACAGATATTCTTGAGGATATAGCATTCATAAAGGTATACTGTCTTCAAATATAGAGAAAAAGAAACAAAAGCAGAAGCAAACTTTGGAAAATATTGTTTTCAATCAACTGTGTATATTTATTATACGAGGGGCGATCAAAAAGTACGTAGAATCACCAAGAAAACGATACAAATGCAGTTATTGTTATGTTTTATTTTTTGACATATTATCTGTCAAGCTCAAGCAATTTGGTTTTGCTATGTTCCAGTCTCACGATCCCCATTTTATTTGACCTTTTACCTTGGTACCCTAAAAAAACGCAAAATCTACAATAAATGCATCAAAAACTTCAGGAAACAAAATATGCAAGAAATATTTTGTGTGTTGAGATTGATAGAAGTCCCCTAGAATCACATTTAGATATTAAAGTTCATAAAAAAGCAATTTGAAATTACAATCGCTTGTTAAAGTGACTCCCCCCTTCATGTTGACTGAAAGAGCTTGTTTTGGAGACACTACCCATCCCCATTTCAGAAAAATCATAAAGGCATTGCTTATTCTAATGTTTTCACTTATGCATACATGATGCCAAGGGTTAAAACTAAATACTGAATGGTCACACAAGTGTCAGCTCACAATATATTGTAAACAGTGCCAGCTTGAATATCTGGACACAATGTGTTTGAAAGATTAAAATGGGGGTGTCCTTTAAAAATAGCCCCCGACTAAATATAAATCAGGCAATCCGAATCGTTGACTGTTGATCATGACGGGAGTCATCCAATACTATACTGAATATATTTTATATGACATTATCTGAGGGCATACCAAGAGGTACCAAAAGACAAATCGTTTTCATTTTCTGCAATTTTGTAAGATGTATTATACCCCAATGTGTTGTGATGACAAATATCTGGTTAACCACATTACCCACACATGTGAAATTTTGGATATGGCTTTGCTAACGATTCCTTAAAAATAACATGGAAGCTTTTCAAACATTGGACATCGAGAATATAGTTAGGCTACGTACTTTTTGATCGACCCTCGTAATTTGACTGATGCAGATAAAACTTTGTTTTTCATCAGTGACATGTTATGTAGACATAAAGGCAATACCGTTTGTCACAAGACACGTAAGCCCACGACAGGGCGTTCCCTTCACTACCTGGGATGAGAACCGTGTGGAATTCTCCGACATACTTCCTGCGACGCGTTGGCGGGTTGTGCAAGTGTCTGTAGCGTACGTTGATGTTGACGTTGACGTCGACGTTGATGTACATGTCTATCGATTTCATCTCACATAATGATGTTCGGTTTCCTACAGGAGACCTCGAGGCCCAGAACAAGACGCTGACGTTTGAATTTTGCAGGACGCCAGCAGAAACACAAGCTGTTTGTGGAGTAGTCCTGTCATATTGAATCAATTCCCTCTGTCGGTTAATAATCGGAAGAAGGTGACGTTGAAGAATTTGGTCAATGTACCTATTTGTTGTCAGATTTCTCTGAAGCACCTATCTGGGATACGTTTTGCTACACTGTCACTTCAGCCACCGAAACATCTAGTAAACGTAGTTCGGTGCGTTTCTTTATGTGAAAAGTATATGAGGTAATATATAAATAAGTTGACTTTGCAAAAATGTAGCATATTGGTCATACGCAGGTCAAATCAACATAGCTTTGGGGAAACCAGCAAGACAGAGCACTACCTGGCCCAACACCGAGGCGTCTCGGGCAAATGACGGAAACAGAGCTAGCAAATTCGGCAGCGGAAGCTGTTCCCATACAGAGCACGAAAGGACAAACTGGTGGCAAGTGGATCTCCAAGGAATGTACTCCATAGGCTCAGTCTTCATTGTCAATAGAGACTCACAAGTAACTGGTAAGAAGTCTACTCCATAGCCTCAGTTTTCATTGTCAATAGAGACTCACAAGTAACTGGTAAGAAGTCTACTCCATAGCCTCAGTCTTCATTGTCAATAGAGACTCACAAGTAACTGGTAAGAAGTCTACTCCATAGCCTCAGTTTTCATTGTCAATAGAGACTCACAAGTAACTGGTAAGAAGTCTACTCCATAGCCTCAGTCTTCATTGTCAATAGAGACTCACAAGTAAACTCAAGGAATCTACTCCATAGTTTCTATCTTCATTGTCAATAGAGACTCACAAGTAACTGGTAAGAAGTCTACTCCATAGCATCCGTTTTCATTGTCAATAGAGACTCACAAGTAAACTCAAGGAATCTACTCCATAGTCTCTATCTTCATTGTCAAGAGACTCACAAGTAAACTCAAGGAATCTACTCCATAGTCTCATTTTACATTGTCAAGAGACTCACAAGTAAACTCAAGGAATCTACTCCATTTACTCTGTCTTCATTGTCAATAGAGACTCAAAAGTAACTGATAAGGAATGTACTCCAAAGCCTCAATCTTCATTGTCAACAGAGACACATAAGTAAACGGGTGGATTTACTTGTTACGATTTATTATGGCTAAAGCGTCTCCCTTTACTTGCAAGTGGTGGAACATGGCCAAGCTGGTGGCATAATACAGTAGAAGAAAAGAAAAAAAGTTTCTGCTAATAAGTTAACAAAACATGTGCATAAATAGTAACGAAATCATTGTGGTAATAAAAGTTTAGTGAAAGGGATGATATTTACATGTGAGTAGTATAGTAAGGGTCATAAGACGGTACTTTTGGTTGAGGGAGGTTGAGGGAAGGTTAAGGGAAATTCATTGGCTGATCCAAGTCACGTGGTCATAGCTGATGCATAGGTGAATGTAGGCAGGACGTCACAGGTCAGGAAAGGTGAATGAAAGGTGCATGTTAAAATGCGTTCATGTATTCTTGTGGAAAACCCTTTATAAGATGTGAAAACAAAAGCAAAGTATAATGGATAAACCTATGTATAGTGTGTAGTCATGACCATATCGAGCTGTCAGCCCGGTTTGAATTGAGCGCGCTTGGCAAGTCACGCGACCTCGTCGTTTCAAATAGCCTGCTCTCGACTCAGCGTGCGACCTGTTTTGATGAATACAGGGTGTGTGTTGAAAGTACATCATACCACAATAGAGACGGGTTGTGTTAACATTATGTACGCTGGGTAATGTAGGAAAAATGTACGTCTAGCTGGATCAAATTCATCCTGTACGGTGTACAAGTTGTACTCCATGAAAGTTAGGCAAGCTGTTTGTGAAGAGATAGAAGAAATAGATAAGACATGTAGAGGCAAGGAACGTATTTCATGTTTACGATCTTCATCCTTAATCGCAGTGTGAACATATTTTAACATGGACATTTTAAAGGCGAGGAAAATGTTTCGATAGAAAAATATGTCGAAGCAGGTTTATTCATAGCTAGTGTGTAGCAGATAGACTAAGCGACTGACTGGCCATAACAATGTCAACATACCGGCGAAGCTTCCCATTCATAAATTGTGTGACCAGTGTACCGTATTTATTATATGTAAGGGAAGATGTGTTGTATATTTTTTATTTTTAAATGGAGTTATTTCAGAGAGGGCATGGGTATTCCCCTCATTAAACCTTTGTTTTGTTGTTGTATATTAAATGTAACCGGTATTTAATACATTTGAATGATGTAGGAATGTATGTGCGTGTCGATATTATAAATATATCTGAACATGAATGTATGACACCTTTCAATAGATCAATTACGGTTCTAACCACTACATGAAACATTACTTTGAGTGTGGTTAGCAGTTCATATTTATAAACACATCGTAAGTAACAGATTTCTGATGAATGAACTCGCCCGCACACATGTCTAGGGTCGACAAAACTCTGGGTATTTTCAGACCACCGAACTGTAGACAGTCACACATTGATAACAGGAGAGTGTAGCGTTTGTGTGGAATGCACTCATCCTTGTAAAGGTAAATCCATGTAAAATACTCGTTTAAACTCACAATTTAAATGATGACATTACTTTTTAGATGTATTGGTATGAATGGGAGGATCTGTGGAGTTTGTGTCGATGTCTGTCTAGGGACTCAACATATTATCATCGACGTATATGAAGATTATATTCTATGCAAAAACTGACAAAACAAACAATTCATTCATATCATTTATGGATTCAAGTCAATCGGTTCAATACAGAGCTGTGATATACGCATGGACAATAGGATGTACGCATGGACATGCTGCTGCTTCAAGGCGCAATTGTTTAAACAGCAAGTCCATGTTTTGAAACACATTTCGCACTGTGGAATGTTCAATTCACCTTTCCTATGCTGTTTTAAGGTTGAATGGTTATCTATAGTCTATGCTTTATCCATTGCCTTTAACGATTTCCGTCCAGGGGGTCCCAGCTTCACAACTCCTCTCACGTAGAGTGAACACAACTCGTCTGTATTGTGGTATGATGTACTTTCAACACACACCCTGTATTCATCAAAACAGGTCGCACGCTGAGTCGAGAGCAGGCTATTTGAAACGACGAGGTCCCGTGACTTGCCAAGCGCGCTCAATTCAAACCGGGCTGACAGCTCGATATGGTCATGACTACACACTATACATAGGTTTATTCATTATACTTTGCTTTTGTTTTCACGTCTTATAAAGGGTTTTCCACAAGAAAGCATAAACGCATTTAAACATGCACCTTTCATTCACCTTTCCTGACCTGTGACGTCCTGCCTACATTCGCCTATGCATCAGCTATGACCACGTGACTTGGATCAGCCAATGAATTTCCCTTAACCTTCCCTCAACCTCCCTCAACCAAAAGTACCGTCTTATGACCCTTACTATGCTACTCGGACAGACAGACAGACAGACAGACAGAATTTATTCAAGAAAGAAGCCTTGGGCCCATGATACATACTTTCTTGATGATATCATATAACACCTGAGTGAGAATATAGGAGCTGAGCAGGCACAGGTATGAAAATTTGTCATACAATATTATAGAAACAACAAATGCATTTATAAATTTTTTGGTTTTAAATGATGAGCCTTACTGTGTACCATAACTGAAGGGCTAAGTGCTTTGGGTTATAGTGTTGGCTCTCAGTTTCAATACTTCATATAAATACAGACGTTTACTATGCAGGATAGAGACATTACAGTGTACCAGTGATAAATGCAAGACTCAGTGCTTATGGATTAATAGTGTTGGCTCTCAATTTCTATACTATATATAAATACAGACGTATATTACGCAGGATAGAGACATTACTGTAAACAACAAATGTACCAAATTCTCTCATTTTCTCGTTTTATGTCAATAATATAAAAACAATGAATACGTGCATAACACAAATAAAAATCACTACATTTTTCACACAAATCATCTTTTAATTGTATTAATCACATGATTTGGGCTCATTATGCCCACATTACAACATTGTGTTTGCTTCACAGAAGGGATAAATTTTCAAACCTCACTAACAATACTTTCGAAACGTGCAATACAGTTAAAAGAGTTTCCGGGTCATTGTTGCGTTCCTCGGAGTCAATTTTGGAGACCATTTTGACTTTTTACATGAGTAATTTTGATGTTTACAAATACTTTTCACTCAGCGTTTTTAGCTACTGACGAGACAGTGCTGGAAGAAAAAGAAAATTGGGACAACTTGTTCCTTTGTTGTTTCTGGATGGTAACGATGAATATCCAGTGATAGCTTTAAGGTAGAATCGTTACCTTCTAATTTTGCTAATTCTGAATATGTAAACAGACTCGGAAACTGAACACCTGCTCAGTGTTTGTTTTTTATTTAATAGGCTACTTTCTGCAGGACCTCGAAGTCCACGTGTTTTGGGAGGAGCCATCGCCTGGTCTCCCCAACGGAACTGTGTGCGCCACCCATATACCTCCTATGGGCGTAACTGCCACACTGCAGTGTGAGGCCCCCGTAATAGGAAGGTATCTTAGAATCTACAGACGATCAAGTGAAACGGTTGGAATGCCGAAACTGGTCTTCTGTGAAGTGGAAGTATATGGACGCCGAGTAGCAACATGTGGAGGTATGTGGGGGAAATAGGGGCTCTGTCTCATCATAATTATACCCATGAAGATCCGGGTTAGAATTGGTCTTCAGCAACCCATGCTTGTCGAAAGAGGCGACTAACGGGATCGGGTGGCCAGGCTCGTTGTCTTGGTTGACGCATGCCATCGTATCCCAGTTGCGTAGATCGATGCTCATGCTATTGACCACTTGCTTGTCTGGTCCAGACGTGAGACATCTACAGACAGCTAGAATAGTGCTGAGGGCTGGGTTGAACAACAAACAAACACACTCATCATAAAGAAACACAGGGTGTAGATACAGTGTATGAAAACAATAAAGGCGGCTGTGTGCCTTTACATACAACTGTTTGTCTATGAAAGTACCTCAATTTCTCACAAATAGTAATATATTGGCACTTAAGATGGGAGTATTTCCGTCTTTGCTATTACCATAAGTATATATTATAATAGCCAACTGAAACAAAAGTACCTTAAAATACATATTGATGTATATCTTCAGTAATCACCTTCAAGACCAGTCAAGGAAAGCAAGCAATCTGTGACAAAACTGAAGTGCATTACAACTTATCTGTAATTTCGTGTTCCATATTGTGTCTACAGTCGAGAGTTTGCATGGCTTACAACTACGTCAGGCAAACCCCTGTGTGTGAACTCATCTACGATATATCAGTCATAGATCGCTTTGAAGCAAGTGCAATTGGAGATTTCTATGAACTTATATCCGAATGAAACCACCCAACAAGCAGCATCCGGCAAGGCAAGAACTGCTTAACTTAATTTACAGATGTTCATAGGCATGCTGTATTGGTAAAAGAGACCCTGAAAATTATATATCTGGTATTTTTGCAGGTCACAAACATGTGAAGAAGTATGTACAGATAAAAAATCATTAAGTGCCTCCTCCTATTCATGTCCTTATGTCCTGAACGTTTGGAAACATATGACATTTATCTCATTTGTGTACATGTCTAAAATATAATCAATGTATTTTGAAAAGTGATGATAGAATAGTATCTGTGTTTATAGATGGACACGAATTCTGCTTCACAACATATGATGCAAAACAGCTAATGAAGAAAATGAGTTAGGGTCTACTCAAAAGACAATGTACACAATATGTTTGTGGATAAATGAATTGGTTTCTGTATTTCAATATTACGTGTATGAATAAACAACATGTTTCGGCAAAATGAATATAACACACGATTTTTTAAATGAAGGCCGCCATTACCAAGATCAAATGACATCCAGAACAAGAACCATTGGGCCCGAACAGTATACAGAATAGCCTGGTCTAGTTTCTAGCCCCCCAGCTTTTCAGCGTCTATTATTCTATAAATATAGCATTTCCATTACATTTTAAGAAATGCAATTTGTAACAAACTATTTCTGCTTGGTTTGGAGGCTCGTATCCAGAACTTTCTTTGTATATATTTTCGGTGTTTATTTTAGAGTTTTACAATACCACACAGACTATGTGAGGATTTTAAGCTGACCCTCCCAAATGGTATGCTATAATGTGTGTGGGAATATATTTTAGGGTGTTTATTTTAGAGTTTTACAATACCACACAGACTATGTGAGGATTTTAAGCTGACCCTCCCAAATGGTATGCTATAATGTGTGTGGGAATATATTTTAGGGTGTTTATTTTAGATGTTTACAATACCACACAGACTATGTGAGGATTTTAAGCTGACCCTCCCAAATGGTATGCTATAATGTGTGTAGGAATATATTTTAGGGTGTTTATTTTAGAGTTTTACAATACCACACAGACTATGTGAGGATTTTAAGCTGACCCTCCCAAATGGTATGCTATAATGTGTGTGGGAATATATTTTAGGGTGTTTATTTTAGAGGTTTACAATACCAAACAGACTATGTGAGGATTTTAAGCTGACCCTCCCAAATGGTATGCTTTAATGTGTGTGGGAATATATTTTAGGGTGTTTACTCCTGAAAGTTGTCACTCACCCACCTATTCACCCACCAGCCACCCAAACACTCACCCACCCACTCACCCACCCACTCACCCACTCACTCACCCATCCACTCACCCACCCACTCGCATCATAGACAGTGCGCTGCCACTATTACCTCTCCGACTAAGTAGGAAAGCCAGTTAAAATATTCATTTGTGTCAACTCGGATGATTGCCCTGCAATGGAAAGTTCGATCATTTACTGCAACGTTTCAAAACATAGATCAATATCGAAAAGAAAACTATTGACACTCCATCTAATTATGACATATTCAATGCCGGTCTGGTCGTGACAAAAACAATACTTCTTGTATGTTATATTTGTATTTTTTGAATCTTAGGCAATTATAAATTTTGTTAGAACTTCGATTTTTTGTGTAAATCGAAAATATATTGTATAAATTCTTCCGAGTTATCAAATAATTTATTGATGTTTCACAAAATGTAAAATTATGTGCTTTACTAAATACATGTGTGCGTGCGTACATGCGTGTAAAATGTAAAATTACGTACTTCTCAACACGATGAGTGTGTTTATTGAATACTTCCAATGAAGTATGGAAGGTGAGGTGAATTGGGTTTAAGGATATTATTGCACTTATGAACGTGTATGTTAGTGTGCGTGCGTGCGTGTGCATGCATGCATGTGATATCTGCTTGGGCTAGTCGTGTCCACGTTTATCCATTTATTAGGAGCGCAACAAGAGGTTACCATATTTTACTGTCTCTATGTCAGACGCTGCCGTAGATGAAACCATCCATCTTCCGCTCACCGGGCCGGTGCTTTATCCATAAGACCATAGTGTCACATCCTTAAGCCCAGTGTCTTGGACGACGTCGTCTGTCCATTGACACTCACATCCGAACTGTTGGTCAGTGTGGTATGCCGCCTGTACATCTATGTGCAGCCGCGAGATCCACCTCGAAGATCCTGGCTAGGACTGTTTGTCAGCAACTCATGCTTGTCGTAAGAGGATCTAACCGTATCGGTTGCTCACGTGTGTTGGCTTGGTTGGTACATGTCATTGTTTTCCAAATGCGCAGATCGACGCTCATGATGTCAATCACTGGATTGTTCGCTCCGGACAGGTCGCCCTCATACATCTGGAATATTGTTTACAGCGATGTTTAAAAACAAAAGAAAAGGATATGTCTGCTTTCTGGACTCTCAGTACATAGGTCAAGCGGCGATTCCGTTTCTATCTGTAAGTAATTGTATTTGTTTACTATATAACTGACCAAAGAAGTAAGGAATCATCCTTTACTTAGTCTTCACTCCTGGTAAATTCCAGTCAAATTCATTTAGGTCTTGGGTTAGTGAAGATCCGGGTTAGAATTGGTCTTCAGCAAATCCATGCTTGTCGAAAGAGGCGACTAAGGGGATCTGGTGGCCAGGCTATTTGACTTGGTTGACGCATGTCATCGTATCCCAGTTGTGGGGATCGATGCTCATGCTGTTGATCACTGGAATGACTGGTCCAGACTTGATTATTTACAGACTGTCGCCATATAGCCGGAATATTGCTGAGTGCGATGTTAAAAAACAACCAAGCACCCGATCCCGTTAGTCGCCTTTTAAGACAAGCAGGGGTTGAAGAAGACCAATTCTATCCCGGACCGGATGCTCGATCGAGCTCGAATTAGGCGATTTGGAGGCCAGGGAAGGACGTTGACGTTTACATTGACGATATGCACCTCTTACACGAGCTGTGTTGGGTCGAGCATTGCCGTGTTGAAAACAGCCACCTCTGGCGGTTAAAAAGTGGGAGGAGGTGAGGTCGCAGGATTTGGTCGATGTAGCGAGTTGAGCCACCACTAGCTCTGATCTACCCGTGTAGGACATGGCTCCCCACACCATGACGCTTTCTCCACCAAATCTGTCCACCTGTCGAAAGCAGTTCGGCGCAAAACTTTCGTGTCGACGTCGAGAGACATGTTGTTTCCCATCCCGTCGTTGCAGGAGGAAACGTGATTCATCGCCGAACCAAACGCGTCGCCAGTTCCCCGGGTTCCATGCCTGTAGCCTGTTACACCATTGGACACGTCGTTGTCGGTGTAGTCGTGTCAGGGCAGGTCCAACCTTTGGTCGATATGCTCGAATTCTCACTTCTCTCAGACGATTTCTGATAGTTTGGTCAGAAATTCTTAGAAGACCAGGCACCTGTCCTGCAATGTCCGTTGCTGTAGTAAACCGGTGACGTAGTTGAAACACCCGGCTGAATCGGTCCTAAGCCAGAGTAGTCACTGCCATAATCGATGCTGTTGTGGACGTAGAAGTGTCTTACAACGGCAGACTGGGACTACCCTGCTTTCAAACGTCCAATGGCGATATTTCGGCCAGTAGTTTTCAATCCAGGCATTTTTATCTTCGTTTGCGTCGTACATTTCGTAATGAAATGATGAATTTGTTTAAGATTTTATAGTCGATGTCTCTACTTATGTTTCCGACACATTGCAAGTGCGATGCGTGGAAAACATTTTCTTCATGCACTTTTCATGTACCGTCTTCATTTTTATGACAAACGTTTACAAACACATTTTTTTTACCTTTTGCGTGCAATAAACAACAACCACGGCAGGAATAACAGGATTCAAACACAGGAATTGTCTTAATTGCGACTGTTGTCACTATCGAAATGAACTGCTGAAAACGCACGCGCGTTTCTTTTCTTCTTTTTGATGAGTGTATCCGATAGTGATTTATAAACTCATGCTCATGATGCAGTAAATATCCCAGAGATGTGGAAAGGGTTTTGTCGCTTTTATTTACATGTACATTACCTAACCTCCGTTGTCTTTTCTTTTCAGCATATGTGTCCATTCTTATGTATTGCCCTTCGTGAAATCTACACAAACCCAAATAGTTCATCATTAAATAAATAGAAAATATTCTATAAAGACTTGAAAATACACTTATACTACTTACGATCTTTGCTGATCAATATTTATGAGCATAAAACTTGAGCTAAGTGCATGATGAAAGTTTATTATATTGACGGTTATTGAACAACCTGCTGTGTAAACAATAGTAAGTTTTCATAAAACTCTCAAACTATTAAAACATGATAATACACGTTATATAGGCAGTCATTACATTACAAGCAGGCATACAGGGAGATTTTAGAATGTGAAATCAGTACATTTTTAATAAGCAGTCCAGAGAAGAGTCTGATCGAAATCCGCAAGCCAAGAGCGCTCCTTGTGTGGCAGACAATGTGTATAAGACAATGGGTGATAATTAAGTTTTAGGTGGACTGTACAACATGTACAGCAATATGTATAGATTAAGAGCCAATATGTATAACCCTATTAGTGTTTATGCAAGAGGTCATAATATTTTTTAAAGAAGTAAACACCCCTATGCTGGTTACCATAGCAAAATGGATTTTCGTTCAAGAAATCCATCATGCGAAATATGGCAGTATATTATTCTGGTCAATTATGCCTCTCCTAGTTAGATAAAAAATTTCTGTCATCTCATTGTATCTAGAAGATTATTGTTCAATAAATCTATACTGTACATCCGTTATCTGAATTCATTGATCTTTCGGTGACATAAACATTTTATTTTATTGATGTTGTCTTAATTATAAGACTTTTAGGACTGTCCCCTAAACATGGATGACAGTACGACATTGTGCAATTAGGACAACAGACAGCGACACGGAGAGGGCATCTACATGGCTTGGGACTGTTCGTTGAAATACAAATATATTAAATTCTGAAAGCCAAACGTGATCAATATTCACACCAGATACAACAGTTATTGTATTGTCGCTCAACCCACGGCTCCTCCACAGTCACGCAGCTGACAATATTTGTGTCATTGACTTTAAGGAGAATTTCAGAAATACCAAGAGTGTCCAACGGGATTCGAACTCGCAACTTCCTTCCTAAAAGCGACATTGCAATATGGATTTTTTATGGAATTAATAATTACATAAGACGTAACATCAAGATTATCAATTTATTTGTTTAAAATGTTTGACATTTGTGTAATGGCTAAAAGTATTTTTGAAAGTAAAGTAGGAATGATGAAATGAAACGAAAGCTATAATGTACAGAGTTTATATATGTACACGTGAGAACGACAAAAGTAATAAGATAACATTTAGGTGGAGACTCAACAATGGAAGCTAGCAGTTTTGTTAACAACCTCAGATCCTTCTCCTGACCGCCTTCGTGGTGTAGCGGTTAGAGCGTCCGCCCGAGAGCGGAAGGTCGTGGGTTCGATCCCCGACCGCGTCATACCAAAAGACGTTAAAATATGGTACTTGTTGGTCCTTGCCTGGCGCTCGGCATTAATGGGTACAACAAGGACTGGTCGGCTCGGAGTCAGTATAATGTGTCTGAGTGGGGTATTCATGCTTCACTACGGCATGGTATCTCAGTGGGCTAGCACTATAAGACCAGCGTAAGTCTGGGCTTGTACAAGCAGATACACACACATGCATGCACGCCGTCATATGAGCGAAATATTCTCAAAGTACGACGTTAAACCCAATTTCACCTCACTTCAGATCCTTCAACAACAGACTCGTCAAAGAACACAGGGTTACACGCCTCAGGCCAAAGAGTTCATATGGATCCCTGGCCATGTTGGCGTGTTTCAAATTGGCGACAAACATGCCGACCAAGCTTAAACTCCCAGAAGTTAACTTAAACATACCCTTATCTAAAAAACGAAATAAAAAGCCTACCAAAACAAAAAATCATCCTAAAGTGATCATACAAACAGGTCACACAAAGTTAAAGTCTCATCTTCATAAAAAAAAAAAATACCAAACAGACAAATGCACACACTGCAACGAAACAGAAACGTCAAAACACGTGCTACTACACTGCATACACTACCAACGACACTGGTGCTTAGAATGGAGTTCACTGGACACTAACACACACTTACCACTACAAACACTCCTATCCATTAAATAACACCAAAGTCTTCAAAGCCTAAGGTATATTTCTTATCAAAACTGGGCCTTATAATCCCAAATAACCATCTACACGCAGTGCTAAAATAAAAAAAATAATGATACAAAACAAAACATAATTTCCAAATTCAAAATTTATATAAATTTAATTATGCAACACTAACGCCCCCTGCAGGTTGCATCAAACACTTAATGTGCATTATGTCGGAAAGCGCACGTTATATCTCCAAATCATCATCATCAATTTTTAATTCATCCGATGAAGGAGTAAGAATACTCTCCGAAACAACATGTTCCTCATAATAAAGAAGATGACATAAATTATCACCTTTATGTGTATCACTTCTAACTGCCGTTGAAAGACGTTTACTATTAACTAAATATTTAAACTATAAGCTACATCCTTGGACAATGCCTGCAAATTGATGTGGTTATATGACTATTTAACATGTTCTGTCTTCTTTATTGTTCTGAATATACAGTGTCAAACTCGTATCTTATAAGTTATAGCAGACTGAGGCTTGTCGCAACTCGACCAACGTCACCCGTTGGGTTGGAAGTTAACGACGTTCCATTTCACCCCCAACACTTGTGAAACAGCAGACAGAAGGGGCGTGGGGATGTTACGTTGTCCAGCGAAGCCAGTGTGTTACGACGTAAATTGTAATAAAAACGCAAATTGTAAGACTTGCAGCAAATTGTAATAAACTTGACGTAAATTGTAATAAAAACGTAAATTGTAATAAAAATCGACGTAAATTGTAATACGCAAATTGTAATAAAAATTGACGTAAATTGTAATAATTTTCGTTGCGGTAAAATGTAATAAATATTTACGTAAATTGTAATAACAGTTTTAATCACTCGTAAATACGCAGGTGTTTGTTTTTCGTTGCATTTCATACATCAAATAAGCTTGTTAGGGCGATAACTCAAGAAAGAAATGATGGATATGGTTCAAATTTGGTACCAAGGTACAATGTATATTGGCGAGATTCACCGACACAAGTGAAATAGAGTGACCTTGAGATAATTTTCAAGGTCACAGCAAAAATCTGATTGTTTTGCCAATATAAAGATTGTTAGCGCGATAACCCAGAAAAAGAATTGACAAATCTTAGCTTAATGACGAAAATGATATTCGTCCTGATATATAATCGATATAAGATCTCTTACTGTCCTCTGTATCATGTCTTTTCGCAAATATCTTTTGAGGTTTTGATATATATATATATAAAGTGGGGTGGGGTGGGTGTGTGTTTCTAACGGGTATATCAAATCAAATCAAATCAAATTAGACATTTGTATAGCGCTACATATCCAGAGTCCTGCTCATGTGCGCTTAGTCGGATACTCGTTTGAAGAGGATGGTTTTGCGACAAGGTCGGAAACTGTTGATATTTTCCGATTTTCATTTTCAGGTAATCAATTCCAGAGTACAGCACCCGGTCTGCTAAATGATCTGTCTCCGTATGTTGTGGTTCGGACAAATGGAATAGCCTAGCTGACTAGCAATGAAATGCATCTCAAATTAAACTTCAGGAAACAAAATATGCAAGAAACATTTTTGTATGTTTAAGATTGGTAGAGGTGGGCTAGAATCAAACTTAGATATTAAACTGCACAAAAGGCAATTTGAAACTACAATCGCTTGTTCAAATGACTCCCCCTTCTGTTCACTGAAAGAACTCGAGGAAGAAATGATGGATTTTGTTCAAATTTGGTACCAAGGTTTATTGACGAGATTTACCGACACCACTTGAATTGAGTGACCTTGAGGTCATTTTAAAGGTCACAGCGAAGGTGTAACAGTTTTGCACATGCCAAGCTTGGTAGCCGCGAAATTAGGAAAGTATTAATAGATTTTGATCCAATTTTATATCAAGGTGTTGGCGGGAATCCCCCTACACCAATTAAAACAAAATATGCAAAAAACATGTTGTATATTGGTAAAAGTCAAACTTAGATATTAAACTGCACAAAAAAGCAATTTTAAACTATAATCGCTTGTTCAAGTGACTCCCCCTTCATGTTTACTGAAAGGGCTTGTTTTGGAGACACTACCCACCCCCTTTCAGTTGACGTCATCATAAGGATATAACTCATGCTAAAGTTTTCACTTATTCATACATGGTGTCAAGGGTTCAAACTAAATACTGAATGGTCACACAAGTGTCAGCTCTCAATATGTTGTTTATCTGGACACAATGTTTTTGAAAATTTAAAATGAGGGTGTCCTAAAAAAACAGTCCCCGTCTAAATGTAAATCAAGCAATCCAAATCTTTGAATGTTGATGATGACGGGAAGTCATCCAATACTATGCTGAACACAGTTTATATGATACTATCTGAGGTATACCATTATCCAAAAGATAGCACAATAGTGCAGTTGTAAGGCGTCTGCCTATCACGCTGAAGGCCCTGTTTCGAGGAGGCACCGAGGTTCGGTTCCCGAGATGGGCACATTGCGTAGTATCCTTGGACAAGATACTTAGATCTACACTGTCTCAGTTCACCCAGCTGTAAAATGGGTCCCCGTGAGTATTTGCTGGCTATGTGAGTGTTAGTTCATTGCGCCTAACAGGCAGCATGGCTGTACAGTCCCCACAGAGTTGAAAAAGTATCGGAAACTACGATAGTGTCCTATGATCGGGGATAGTAATGTACGTAGCGCCGTGAGCAGGCAATGTGCCTGGATGTGAGCGCCATATAAGCGGACTATTACTATTACTAGATACCAAATGGGAGATCGTTTTCCATTTTCTGCAAATTTGCAAGAAACATAATACCCCAATGTTGTGATGACTAATATCTCGTTAACCACATTACCCACATGAAATTTTGGATATGACTTTGCTAATGATTCCTTCATAATAAAATGGAAGCTTTTTTTCAAACATTGGACATCGAGAATATAGTTAGTTTGACTACATTTTCAACGCCCCTCGTAACATACTTAAAAGAAATGAGAACGTCTAAGGAAAAAAGCATTTCGATCTCTGAATACTTCTGAGCTATTTAAATATAAAAAGCAAAGGAATAAAGTAAATAATCTAAAAAGAATAGCCCAGGGAAACATTTAATCTATTTTTGATAACTATTTATCACCTCAGTCTACTCAATCAGGTGGTTAGTACTTCATCGGGACCCATTCCCCTTCTTGTCACTGATGATTCTGGGATACCTTCAGTTTTTACAGATTTGGATAAAGCTCAAACATTAAATGAATATTTTGTATCTGTTTCAAATGCTACTGATGGCGGCAAGACTTTGCCACCTGTTAGCCATCGCTGTGTTAACAGTATAACAAATGTCATTGTAACCGAAAAGGAGCTATCTGATAAGACCTTACCAGCAAACAAATCTAGTGGACCTGATGGCATTAACATGAGAGTGTTAAAACGAATTTGTACATCTATAGCTGAACCTCTTTGTTTGTTGTATAATATATCACTGAGTGACTGTATTTCCTACATTGTGGAAAATGGGTAATGTTACTCCTATTTTGAAAGAAGAAAATGCATCCCTCCCAACTAATTACAGACCTATTAGTTTAATACCTATCCTTTGGAAAATCCTTGAAAGAATAATGGTAAAGCATGTGCACGACCATTTCCATGAACATAACATTTTAAGTAAATTCCAGTCAGGTTTTACTGCTAGTCATTCTACTAGATCTCAACATAGACATTTATCATAATATATGCTCAGTCCTAGATAATCACCACCTTTACTGTATGCTGTTTTGTGATATTTCAAAAGCTTTTTACAGGGCATGGCATAAAGGTTTATTGCACAAATTAGAAAATGATGGTGTTCGTGGAAACGTACTTAGTTGGTTAACTAACTATCTATCTGGGCCCGGTTGTTCAATACTCGGTTATCTTAACCGCCGGTTAACTCCTAACCGAACGTTAAATATGCGTTGTTCAAAACATGGTTAGTCATGCCGTTAGCTAACGTCGCCGTCAAAGTTTAACAGTGTGGTTATCGTCACTGGTTAGCTTCCATATATCCCATAGTTCCGTTTTCTGTTTACTTCCGGTTTACCAAAAATGGAAACGCAAAATGTCGCCTGCACCCCAGAAGTCGAAACTTCTCTGCTGACGAAGAGAATGTAATCCAGTCAATGGTTGAGGCCAACTCTATAGTTTATCATAGGCATGCGAATGTCGTAGCGCTAAGAACGTTTTGTATTGGAACACAAAGTTCCAGCCGTTTGCATAATTTATATTTCAAAGACATATGATCCCAGCTCTGTGTGGGACTTACTTCAATTCCAGCAACAGAAAAGACATTTTAATGACTGACTGACTGACTGACTGAGTTTGGTTTTACGCCGCTTTTAGCAATATTCCAGCAACATCACGGCGGGGGACACCAGAAATGGGCTTCACACATTGTGCCCATGTGGGGATTCGAACCCGGGTCTTCGGCGTGACGAGCCAACGCTTTAACCATTAGGCTACCCCACCGCCCCACATTTTAATGAACAACTATACCACAGCTATAGATAAAATATGATGAATCCATGAAAATAATATTAATATTAGAAGCATGTTGTCCGTGGATAGAAAATGTATAAACATTACACACAGAGTTACGCTTAGACGGCTACAGTCTTAATGAATCTTTGAATTCCCACAAGACCTATCGCTCACTTTTCACTCCTTAAATTGTCATGACTCTATGGCCGAGTCGTGAAGATGCTATCAATATCATTTATTAATTATTTGCCAAGTCTGTCAAAAATTGTAATGTATGAACACACATTGCCAAATCTTTTAACATCAAACAATATAGATGTTGTATAATTAATACCATAGCTTTTATCTGAAATATGCACTCAATACCAATAGAAACTTAATATGTTACTAGCACCACGTGCAAGTAATCAAACTTTAATCGTACTATAGGCTCCAGGGCCAACACTGCTGAATAAAATCGATCTATTATCCGACCTTACTTTAGACAAGAATCTCATGAATAATACTGTGCAATATCGTCATTATCTGAACGCCTTCACAGACGCATATTCCGGAAAGATGTCTTGAAAAACATGAAACTGCGTCTTATTTATAGATGAACATAATTTCCTCGATACTCATTAATCAGATGAACCTTCATTTAGTTCAATTCACAAGTGACTGCAGAAAATGCATAATTCTTTTTAATGACTTCACGGTCGGAAAACATGTATTATATTTCATAAGTGTATTATAGAACGTTGCAACGATTCGGCAGAGAAATACTATTGTGCCATAGTATTCCTTATATGAACCTATCAGTGTATAACATTAGCATTTAGATATTGTTATAAAATAAGTTAAAAATTCCAAATATTATCGTGTAATATGACAAGATATAGTGTTGTGTTCGCTATGGGAAGGGATGCCAGACGGACATATCAAAACAAAATCGGATAATTACTTGGAGTATAGATTTTCAAAAATAGCATATTAATTAACAATGATATCAGTTTTTAATAAAATCACTTATAATTCTGCAACGTTGCCGATAAGCCTGGAATCGTGTTCAGATGTTTTCATAAATACACTCACACGAACGCCCAAGTGCACTTTGCGCCCTATTGGATAGTGTTTACAAAATCACGTTTCGCAAAGGCCGGCATTGAAACGCCAATTACATCACTTGTATTTCATATTCAGCGGCGACAAATGAATCACTGCATTCTAAGGCTGGGACGGGTACTCGGGTAGTCCTATTTGTAGGAATCGAGTATCCGGAAAGGGAGAGAGCTCTGTAATGACAAGGGCAGACAATAGCTTGTCTTTTTCATTTTTGACGTAACACACATTTACATCATTGAGTGAGTGAGTGAGTGTGTTTTACGCCGCTCTCAGCAATATTCCAGCTATATGGCGGCGGTCTGTAAATAATCGAGTCTGGACCAGACAATCCAGTGATCAACAACATGAGCATCGATGTGCGCAATTGAGAACCGATGACATATGTCAACCAAGTCAGCGAGTCTGACCACCAGATCCCGTTAGTCGCCTCTTACGACAAGCATGGGTTACTGAAGATCCATATTCTAACCCGGAAATTCACGGGTTTTTACATCTTTGGTATTGTCCGATTAATGGAGCATAGTTTTAATGACTGTAATTTATCTGTGCATGAGCAGTGAGTAGTTAAGTTACAGTAGCAGCAGGAACAAAACGTTCGTTGTTAAAAAGTTCGCGGCGGTCCTTAGGTGTGTTAACTTAACGTCACGTTAACAGCCTGTTAAAGGTTAACAGAGTTTGAACAACAAGGTAACCCTCTGTTATTAGGTAACAGTCGGTTAAATGTACTTAACGGCTGGTTAAAAGATAACCGAGTTTTGAACAACCGGGCCCTGATAGACGACAGTGTGTCTCTGTTAATGGAACATTATGGTTCTAACGGTTATATCTCAAATACATGTAGAGGCGGGAGGCCTAACGGGTATGAACAACAATAAAAACTTTCATGCATTTATGACCCACATTTTCGAACCTTTTATCAGTCTCTAGAAGGGAGCTGGCAATAGATTTTAATGAGCTTCGTCCTTCAAGCCTGAAAACCTTTCAATATGGTTGATTAATCCTTTGTCATTTATCAAAAAAAGTAGTGAGGTTGTGCTTACTTAGATTTCTAAAATATATGGACACTATTGGGACGTTGGTAACTGTCATCAAACATTATTTGACGACATTTCTCATGGTTTGAATATAGCCGACTTTATAGAAGATAAATATCAGTTTACAACACAACTGCCTAAATCTTGGTATTTTCGGAACCAGAGACGGGATATGCCGATATTGAGGTCGTTAACCTAGCATATTATGGTCACGAATATAATTTTCTATTTATTACCGTCTTTAAGTCTTATTAAGTCTTTAATTGCGGAGATTACGCGATAATCTACTTTCCAACAAAGGCAGGCTCCCCGTCATCGTTGTATTTAGAAGGTGGCTTCTTAGAAGCAACGTGACGTCATAGCATTGTTCATGATGTCATGACACCATGACAAAGTGATATTTTACCCGGTGCATATCGCATGAAAACAAATTATCCCCGATATGTTTGCCCTCGTATGTTATAAGCATTGTTATTATCATTCTTTGAGGTTAATGCCATCCGTTGAATTCTTTGTTGTATTTTGAGCGGTGAAACTAAATAAATGATTTCTTGGTCTACCCATAACAATTAAGGTGTCAACTTCCACTGTATACCTTACAGAAAGAAGTTTTGACTTTACTTCGATAACGAGCACATCTGATCGATTCCTTGAAGCAAATGATGCAATTCAATATCATTTCTACATTTTATTTTAAATGCATCAATCAAATACAACAAATGAGTAGACAGATTGACTGCTATGTGGCAAGGAATAACCAGGCGCTAGCGATTTATGATATCCTTAGCAAATGTAACTTAAAATTCCCTCTCATAAAAATACAATAATATGTAGTAATATGATGAAGAAAATAATACGAACCAGGTTAAACTATGACAACGCAATATATGAATGTATGACCGAAACATAAATCATAATAAATCACATATGATCAAAACATAAGATTGACTTCAAATATATCCTTGCGTCAACATTGAAAATAATTCGAAAATGAAGAAGAAGAAACGTACATTTCAAAGTGTAAACAAACAATATCCTGTTATTTTGGGATATGCTATGAAGAACTTCAAAATGTAATAGAAATAACATTAAATTATTGAAAGCTATTGCTCGTAAAATATGTCCTTCCGTCAACATCGAAAATAACTCCATAATGAAAAACAAGTAACTTTAATTTTCGAAACATACACAAATAATCTCTGGCTTTTTTAAGACGTGTCACGAATAATTTCACAGCTGGTAGAATTAACATGAAATTATAGAAACCATATGCTAACAAAAAATTGAAAATTAGTAATGACAAAGCGTTTGTCACAAACATAGCTATTACCCCCGCCACATGTCGATATCTGAATGTCGCAATTATCCTCTGTCTGACCCTGAAAAACCTAAACACCTAAACGTTACCGAAACTGTCATCTGATGCCTTGATACATTATGCGAACAAATTCCATCCATTAGGTTTGGAGATATCGCAAGAATACTCGCTGTGACCTTGAAAATAATCCGAAGGTCACTGAATTCGACTGGCGTTAGACGATACTCCCAACGCATCTTGGTACTACCTTTAAGCAAAACATATTAATTCTGTCTTGTATTTTCGCACTAACAAGTTAGACATGTGCAAAACACTTTTTACTGTGAACTTAAAATGAGCACAAGTTTCCCAATCAATCGGTCTTGGGGGAATCCCGCCAATACACCTTGATATAAAATTGGGTCAAAATCTATTAATACTTTCCTGAGTTCGTGGCTACCAAGATTGTCATGTGCAAAACTGTTACACCTTCGCTGTGACCTTTAAAATGACCTCTAGGTCACTAAATTCAAGTGGTGTCGGTAAATCTCCAATCTACAGTCAATAAACCTTGGTACCAAATTTGAACAAAATCCATCATTTCTTCCTCGAGTTCTTTCAGTAAACAGAATGGGAAGTCATTTGAACAAGCGATTGTAGTTTTGAAATTGCTTTTTTGTGCGGTTTTTATCTAAGTTTGATTCTAGCCGACTTCTACCAATCTCAAACCTAGCATATTTTGCTTCCTGAAGTTTGTGATGCATTTTATTGCAGATTTTACGTTTTTTGGGAGTACCAAGCCAATATACAAAGTCTCACAAAATGGGGATCGTGAGGCTGCAACATAGCAAAACCAATTTGCTTGAGGCTGACAGATAATATGTAGAAAAATAAAACATAAAAACAGCTGCATTTGTATCATATTCAGCTAGGTGAGGCTGACTACTATTTGAACGTCCCTCGTCTACCCGTTAGAACACCCACCCACCTCTCCGACTCTTCTACATGCATGCAAGTGTGTTAGATATACCCGTTAGAAACCCACCCCTACCCCACTCCCACTTTATATGTATACATATCAAAACCTCAAAAGATATTTGCGAAAAGACATGATACAGAGGACAGTTTATATCGATTATATATAAGGACGAATATCATTTTCGTCATTTAGCTAATATTTGTCAATTCATTCCTGGGTTATCGCGCTAACAATCTTTATATTGGCAAAACCCTCAGATTTTTGCTGTGACCTTGAAAATTATCCCAAGGTTACTCCATTTCACTTGTGTCGGTGAATCTCGCCAATATACCTTGGTACCAAATTTGAACAAAATCCACCATTTCTTTCTTGAGTTATCCCCCTAACAAGCTTATTTGATGTATGAAATGCAACGAAAAACAAACACCTGCGTATTTACGAGTAATTAAAACTGTTATTACAATTTACGTAAATATTTATTACATTTTACCGCAACGAAAATTATTACAATTTACGTCAATTTTTATTACAATTTGCGTATTACAATTTACGTCGATTTTTATTACAATTTACGTTTTTATTACAATTTACGTCAAGTTTATTACAATTTGCTGCAAGTATTACAATTTGCGTTTTTATTACAATTTACGTCGTAACATGCTCAAGTGTAATGTGGGCGCGTGCACTTGTAACGTTGTGAAATGGCGTGACGCCCAAGGACCTAAGAAGACAGGAGGACGCATAGCTTCGCCACACCTGTCAAAGTGACCACTAGATGGCTCCTCCAACGCGCAGTGATACTGAGTATCCACATCACTATTTCCCAACACCGACTGCAGAACGTTTAACAACACACACACGTGTCATGAAAACAGTGACTGACATCACGGGGTGTGGTGGGCGACTTAGGCTCCAGGCTAGTGATCCAGCGAGCTTGAGGTGCCGAAATCGAGCCCACCTGTGACCGGGTGTAAAAACCTTGGATTCAACTTTGTGTATAGACTCTTTCAGTGTTGTTACAAGCCCTAGTGTACAGTACACAACCCTGTGCACTGACAATGTAAAAGAACCGACGAATCCGTTGGTATATGACCAGATGGTGGCCACATGAATACGTGCCAACACCTAGTTGCGGGTACAGCAACGTGCAGTAAACTTGGACACTGTGCCTATGTGTCCCAGTCCACCAAGCTGTGAATGGGTACATCGTAAGGGTGGGAAAGCCACATTAACTCGATGCGCCTAGCGGCTGTGAGTTGTATAATCCCCAGGGAGTTGAGATTTATATCCAAAGATCGAGGGGAAAAACAAAGCGCCTTTGAGCAGCTGAGCTAAACGGGATATTGGCGTTATACAAATCTATAAAAATGTAAATGATACACGTAAATGTGAGATGAACGTCTTACTCCTGGGATTATTTTCATGCAATGGCCGGAATGCGCTTGCAGTTTCAGGCATATCGTTGGTACAAAATGCATGCACGATCATGAAAACTACATGGCAATTTCTATATCATCTGTTTTACTTGCCCCTTTGAATATAAAATATGTCCAGCACTCGTATGATAAGGGTTAAGGGTGAGGGGTGGTATTGTTCTGTGACATCCATATAAAGCTCATTGGTGGAGGGGCGGTGGGGTAGCCTAATGGTTAAAGCGTTGGCTCGTCACGCCGAAGACCCGGGTTCGAATCCCCACATGGGCACAAAGTGTGAAGCCCATTTCTGGTGTCCCCCGCCGTGATGTTGCTGGAATATTGTTAAAAGTGGCGTAAAACCAAACTCAGTCAGTCAGTCATTGGTGGAATAATGGAAGGGGTAAGCCTGCTGATACCATGGCCCAACCGGAACAACCTAAATCTTATCCATTATCTGTTCATTCTGTTACAAGCAAACAATAGAAAGTGTAAAAAAATCCGGCAAATCCTGGTTTAAAGGCAACAAGTTGGAAAAAACAAACTTGGTACGCCAATGAATAGCATGGCTTCAAAAGCCAACGTTCCATTCAAAAACATACCACTACCCACAACGGAAGGAAACAGTTGCAATCACTGTCATACAGGGTATTCAAACAAACCAAATCTCAAAACGCCTTGGCTCAAAACTATTCATCTAATAGACATATATTCATTAAAACCTGACGGGCTGGCGTACCTTTCAAATTTATACATGATACCATGTGATGTCACGTATATATGTACAGTTATCTGCGTATATATGATAGTTATTGATGAAAATGACGTGTGCATTCAAGCAGAAACTGTTAAAGTGTATACGTATTTAGGGTTTACATTCCATTCTATGTTTGTTTACGTTGTAATGGCATTGTGTCAGGCACACATTCGTATGTACATCCACAGACGTGTTTATGAAACGTCTCCTGCTGTTTGTGGTTATTTGGGCTACTTTGGCTGGAATGTTCACGATTAATGAGCATAAATATTCCTACCTAGATCTATCAGTTTATGGTCAAGGCCACTCAATGATGTTTGAAATATTGACTGTTATTTCAAAATGTTAGACATATACTCACTTGAAAGAGACCAGTACAGATATCCTACTTCTTGCCGAAGCAGTTCACACAGTTTATTACTTTTGTTGTGAATGTGCAGACCCACGGAAGATCTAACTTTCCTTTCGTAGTTATGACAGTTGGTGACATTTAAGCGATTTAAGGAACATATCATGTACCGTGAGCGAACAGTTTGAACTACGGGTGATCGAATGTTTAATTAACAATAATGACAAGTCATCCTGAATTCATTGTAATGCTACAAATGAAAAATAATGCTTCTTTAATGCCAAAATTCATTTCATCGATAAAATTGTCGTAGCCGTTCAACAAACTGTTTTGAGCTTGTGTAATCACAATGTTGACGGTTGACTAAATGCATATCATAGAGGGAAATTCAACGGAGTCAATGCTGTTTCACCTGGTTATGAATCTATGGAACGTGTCTGCGTTATGAGGATAAACTAGGTTATTTGTTTTTTAGATTCTATTTGTTTAATTTGGGTAATACAATCAAGACACTGCTCGTGACGAGCAATGTCAAGATCAGGGACTTACAACACCAAATTCACTACGAAATGATAACCCTCATTCTTCGTCAGTCATAAACTATTGTATGTCTGTTCACCAGGATGACCTTTTCTAGGGTAACGGTATATCGTCAGTGTGTCAATAGAAACAACGAGGGTTGTTTATCATATGGCATAAATCAAATCAAATATTCCCTTCATAAACGCCATTCGGTGACCAGGTTTTCAGCAACCTGTGCACATGTATGTACAGGTATGACGACCTATCTTTAAGCTAAGAATGCACACGTGAAACTGTATAACGTCAGTGTGCTAATTGAAACGATTGATATCAGTATGTGGCATACATCAAATCAAATATTCCCTTCATAAACGCCATTCGGTGACCAGGTTTTCAGCAACCTGTGCACATGTATGTACAGGTATGACGACCTATCTTTAAGCTAAGAATGCACACGTGAAACTGTATAACGGCAGTGTGCTAATTTAAACAACGATTGATATCAGTATGTGGCATACATCAAATCAAATATTCCCTTCATACACGTGGTTATCTGACCAAGGTTTTAGCTACCTGTGACAACATGTATACATAATTACAACGACCTACCTTTAAGTTAATAATGCACAGGTGAAACTGTGTCTCATTGAATACGTGTTAGTGAATATCAGCAGGTGTGTGAAGAGCAACTGAGAGCATGTCACGCCAGAAGGTGGGAAGGAAAACATTCTCAATGTGTATTTATTAACATACATAATGAATTAACCACTTTGACTTACACAAACAAATAGTTCACAATCTGAAATAAATTAGGCTTTATGAAGCAAAGGAAGTTCAGGATTAAAGGCACCGGTGAACTTATGCTTTTCAGATTATTGCACCAAATGGGTTCCTGAAAATCAGATCGTGAATCTCACTACAGCTGGACATTCCATCACAAGGACAAACCTTTGGTACCTTTGTAAAGTACCTTTCGCCGTTTTTCACTCAACAATGAAATAATCAACAGGACATCAGGTTGGTTCCTCGGGCTTTTCGGCACCACTTTCAAAATGACGAGATCAATTCCAGACTACAGTTGAAAATTCTGTATTCATATTTTGAAAACTGATCCTGAACCAAAGAAAATACGGGAGTGGTGACAAAATGACTAAGACTATGACATCACTTCCCTAGGGTGTGGACAGTTCCCCTATTTCAAATTATTATCCCACTGAAGCAAGAGTCAGACTATTGTCATGGATACAAACAAGCGGAATTTCACTATCGAATCCCGTGAGCAGCGCTCTGATTGGTCAGATGAAAGCTCTGACGTCATCGGTTTTGGGATGTCTTTAGATCAGTTGTAGTGGAAGCAAGCAATAAGATCTGTTTTTACCAGAAATTTGGTTCAGCGAAAGTGGCTACTTGTCTCCGATAGAGATGTAGCATTTTTACATACAGTATGATTATATCTCATATCCAGTATCTTGAATGATTCGTATGAATTTAGATAACTGTAGTTATGAATATTGTATGTTCTGGCAGTTCTGAAGATACCACGTGGCATTATTGAAATCACAAGGGCGTCTAAGTAGTATATATTCAAATGTCTGACCAAACATTAAGAATGTAATTACAATATATAACATGAATTATCCAAGACCAGTTATGTAGAGAAGAGTGTCCGAGACACCTGTTGCAGTTCGGAAAGAGACCCGATTCACATGTGTAGACACATATATCAGTTACAGTTATAGTTTAGACTTAGAATAGTATACGTTCAGTTGATCCAATATATACGACCAACTGAACGTTTACTAGTTTAAGTCTAAACTATTTCGTTCCCTTTAAGTAGGCGATCTGACATCGGAGATCAATACAGCTAAACAAATAATTTGTTACACGTTTTGAAAGAAGAAATCAGCGTTGTGAACGAGCACTCAATAATCGTTTCGCTAATGTGTTTTGCTTGAACAACTCAACGTTTACGTGTCGTTGTTAATTCATGATCACCGCAGGTTCTTGCTCTAATTGTTTATGGGGCGGTGGGGTAGCCAAGTAGCTAAAGCATTCACTCGTCACGCCGAAGACCTGAGTTCAATTCCCAACATGGGTACAATGTGTGAACACCCTTTCTGGTGTCCCCCGCCGCAATATTGCTGGAATATTGCTAAAGCGGCTTAAACCTAACCTCACTCACTCTAATTGCTATATATTGACATAACCGACCCTATTTTTATGATTTCTAATGCTTGCGCGGTTTTGGGGACGGTGTTGGGGACTAAAACACTCAGAAACACCCCGTTCTTTGATGCTGGTCGTGGCCTGTATGCATACATTGGCATCGGCAAGGCTGTTTTTGAAATTCCGCTATGGAATGCACATGCCTACTGGATTAGAACAGTGTTGATGAGCATGGGTATTTGTGCAATAATTCACGAAGATCTTTTAAAAAGAGAACCGATTTTAAAACTGAAAATCAAGTGTTTTCTCATTGTTTGTTGTTTTACGATGCACGCAGCAATATTCCAGCTACTTGACGTCGGTCTGTAAGTAATCGAGCAGGGACCAGACAATCCAGTGATGAATGTTTTCTCACTGGAATATACTAGTATATATTTTGGCGGTGTCAAGTGCTACCCATTCATTAAGATGACGCGACATGCAGTAATAACTTGTAGCATGCAACACAGCTGCACCGCCAAGGGGGTATGCACATTAAATGAAACACGCAGGACAAGTAGGGTAGGTCTACGTTAACGCTCATCACGTACCGCACGTGCATTTGTTTCACTGTTTCAACTACTGTTTCCTAAGTTGAATAAAATTCTGAGATTTAAATGTTCAACTGGCAAGGTAAAATTATGAGGATTCGCAATCTTAATTTCACTTTATTTGATTTACCTTTTTGTTTAAAGTGAAATTCATCGGTACGTTTTCAATACAAACAGACTTCTTTTATAGTCATCCGACGTTTTTTATCTGCATTCTCTCCATTTACCATGACACAAGACGCTTACATATATCCATGTGTATTTACACACATGAGAAGTCACAGGGCGTCTATGTTTACATTACAGACATGCGGGGATGTCACTGAGCTTTACAAGTGATTATATGCATAGAGTAAACACTGAACCTGTCCGCGACAACAATCTATTTCAACATCCGAATTACCGAATACATATGAAAACATTTCAATGTTTGAAGTAGGATATATAGTTTCCATCTTCAACCTGATCTAAAGCCACCGAAAAAAACATCGTATACCTTGGTACAGATGGGAACACATCATATGAACATATCATTTTATCTCGGAGTTTCAAAATGGGTCAGTTTACGAAGCGCACTTACCTTACTAATAATAACAGGTTCATGTAGGTACTTATAAAGACCTTTATGACATGAATTCTTTCAGTCCTTAACTTTAATATGAATATCTCCCGCTTATCCATTTGACGCAGCTAGGGGTGGTGGGATAGCCTAGTAGTTAAAGTGTTCGCTCATCACGCCGAAGACCCGGGTTCGATTCCCAACGTGGGTACAATGTGTGAAGCCCATTTCTGGTGTCCCCGCGCTGATGTTATTGGAATATTGCTAAAACTAAACTCACTCACTCACTCACAAAACTGAAGATTTCCTTTTCAAGATGTTCAGTTCTGACAGTTAACGTTGACATGACTCATGTCCTAGTGGAGGAATTTGATATATCATATTACTGACGACAAATATATAAACGTATTTAAAAAATAACATTGTCTACCAGGTCCCTTCGTGAACACGAAGACCTTTAAAACTTTTAAAAAATTCAAACCGACTTTTATAGGTGCATAAACATTGTCCTGATCTGTTTCAGGACAGATGACACCAGAGTGTCACTCCAGCCGAAAATAGAACGACATCAATACAAAAATATGCAAAAATTGCTATGTACACACGGACACATCACATGTTATGAACAATGCGCAAACAAGAAGCAAACTGGGGCTGTACTTGAAATTGTGAAAAGCTACGGGGTTATGTGCAATATAATAATAGAGCCTCTTTGTTGTTGCCAGGTAGAAATGTTCACCTTTTACATGACGTCTCCAACGCCGGCGTCAGTACGTGGCATTAAAACTCATAGTGAGTCCATGTGAAATTTGGACATATATTAATAGCACATTTGTACTGCGCATGTATCCATGATTAAACATGCTCCAAACTCGAGTACTAGCATACCGGGATCACAGGAATGGAATATTGCTGAGTGTGGCATTAGAAACCCAACCAACCAACTTATCGTAGTAATATTGTACGAGCAGAATAAAATGACCTTTTACCGTTTGTTTGGTGATCATGTTGGTGGCCTCGTGGTTATTGCGTTCGTTCACCAAAGACCTCATGGGTAAAATGTGTGAAGCCCATTTATGGTGTATAGCTGGAATGTTGCTGAAGCAGCATACAAACATACTCATTTGGTTTGACGCTAAACGCTGCCGCAACCTGGTATCAGAAATGTATTATGGAACGCACCGTCTCCTTCAAACAATGGTGGTTGTTCCTGAATGCCATTAATGTGAAGAATTTCCTGTCAATACAGGTAGACTGACTGACTGAGTTTGGTTTAACGCCGCTTTTAGCAATATTCCAGCAACATCACGGCGGGGGACACCAGAAATGGGCTTCACACATTGTGCCATTGTGGGGATTCGAACCCGGGTCTTTGGCGTGACGAGCCAACGCTTTAACCATTAGGCTACCCCACCGCCCCTAATACAGGTAGAAATTAAGTATGTCGGTAGTGAGTACAAGGGAATTGGCCATGTGTTCTGAGGCAGATTCAGCTGCACTCACATGTTTCACAATCACTTAATAACAAACTCTAAGATCAGCATATATCTGTGTACATGCGTTTGCATGTCTTAATATGATCGTACCCATTAAAACCATAGCAGACTTCTGTGTCCCGGGACATTCTCTGAACTCTGAATGTGTCCAAATATTTTGTCATTGTACAATCGCTCCCTTAAGAATTCATTTGTATCTATGGAACTCGTTTCATATATACTACCTGTAACATCTGCTCTGGTGCCATCGTGGGTACTTTCACGAGTATCTGAGGTTGATAAACTAAGCACATGCACACTTTAACAATGAACAAAGGCGTCGTCATGAGTCTATTCAGTTTATTTCAAAACGTGTTCAATATAAAACTCAGCAGCATCTAAAATATGATTCAAACCTTTGCAAATAGTTGTAAGCTTTCAGATATCCAATATTTCCTGATTGCAGAAATATTATTCACATTAATTCATAAGTAGCCCTGAATACTAAACATTACAAATAAATTCGAGTCATGAGTATGTCAGATGAATATGAAGTATTATTCGGGCATTCTGAGAGTTGCTCCTGGTATGAATTGCACGGCATTGTAGAAGTCCAGTTAGTGAAGCTTCTGATGTGTAAGTATGACCGAAGCGTCATTTGGACAGTATTCGACAGTATCGAGGTTATCAGCGCAAACATACTAAAATTAAAGCAGAATCAACTATGATTCCATGGATGCATCATTACGACAGAATTGTGCCTCTATTACTTAAATCGGAAATATTGATTAAAATACGAATGAGTACAGTATTGAAATTTTGAAAATTAATTTTATAATTTTCATCGTTAATCCGATTTTAGCTAAAAGCTATACCATTACTAACGCCCTATTGAGTGTCGAAGAAAACTAAAATTAACATCATTGTCCGAAACTTGTCGCATACGTTCTTGCGAGGTTAGCGTACAAAGGAACTCAGGACTACAGCTATATGAGCATGGCATATTATCTTCTCAGCAATACTAGAAAAATGCTTAACGACACAACACAAGGCTGCAAAGACCACATATGACCAGCAATTCCTCCTCCAGAAGTGACCACGCCATCCCTCAAGAACACAGGGGGTAATCCAGATTCAAAACACACGGCTTCCACTTCATCAAATTGTGAGTCTTCGCCCATTTTGAATATCATAGAATTGCAGTTCTTGGGTTCCATGATTCCAAATCCTTTCCCGTAGAAGTTATTTCCATCCTGCTCGTACAGCAGCCATGTGGCAAATCCGTACTTGGCCATCAGCTGTTGATCAGTGTCGTTGTAGTATATTTCAAGGTTACCAAAACCTTTGTGGTGATATATTCCCTCGTATTGTTTACGATCATGCGACAAAGTCTTGGCCATGTTGTAGCTGGGAGAAGAACTCGTCTCGTTGAACCACGGTGCAGGGAACGAGCATATTGTGGACACGTTGAGCCAAGGCTTTTCACCTGCAGAGACCAAAACAAATGGATCAGACAAAACAAAAAGGAAGGAGTAAGGTTAAAATGTTTGAAAATATGATCGCAGTGTTCGCATTATACGTTCGCGTTTGATCAAACAGTCATCAATCGTTTTAGATATTCATAGTCGATCAAATTTATGTTACACTTTTGTCATAAACAATAACAATCATACATATCCTCATTTGACGATTGTCATATATTATTTTCAAATCAGGTCCTCTTCCATACCTCATCTTTTATAGGTTTATGTAATGTGTATCACAATTACTCCAATATTCCGATAGTTTTGCCTATATGTACATATAAATTATTAACAATGACAAGAATAATATATATATTCCTCCTACAGATTATTGCCAATGTGATGTTGCGTCTGATTTTGCAGTTCAAAGAATTGTTTTTGTCTCAACTTCCTCAATACAGTCATCATGGCTTGGCTGCCGTTCAATATACATGTATACTTTCTTACGCACGCACGCACGCATACACACATATACAGAGCGTATTCCTTCTGAACACGCTGCATGTCGCTTCTTGTTCTTGCTATAATAACAACGTTGTTGGAAGTGAGAGACAATAGTTTCAATGTTAAATAGAAACAATAATCTTACCTAGGATGCGGTCTGCGATGTAGTTCTGCAGAGGAAACCTGTACCTGTAGTCGCTGTCCTCCCCTGTCATGGCGATGAAGATGCCGAGGTTCTCGGAGGGAAACAACGTTAACAGGGCCCTGTACCCAAACGTTGATCCACTGTGGGCGACCATCTTGTAACCTGTTGTTGGTTGAAAGTAATGTCACCATCAGTATCAGTAATGTCACCATCGGTATCAGTAGGTTTACAAAATACACGTCACTCTGTACACGATTATCATTAAAACCTTCACTTCCTACATTTCTAATAGTGTCAGGTTTAAGGACATCTATTGGATTTTTTTGTTTGTCGTTTAATGTCGCACTCAATAATATTCCATATATATGGCGGCGGTCTGTGTTTAATCGAGTCTGGACCGGACAACCAGTGATCAAAATGAACATCAATATACGCAATTTGGATCCGATGACATGTGTCAATGAAGTCAGCAAATCTGACCACCCGTCGTCTCTTACGACAAGCATTGGCTACTGGAGACCAATTCTAACATGCCTGAAAAACTCTAACAAGTATGGAAAACTCATTTCAGAAATATGTAAATCTTGGAGCATAAATTTATAAATCACACTAAAACTCCCACTAGTTTATGAAGAAAAGGTTCCATCAGGAGGGCTATCCATTGTTTTTATGTGTTTTTTCATCACAAACAAATTGCATCGAGAGACCCGGCGGGTGATGTTTTATGAAGGAAAATGCAAAACTTACTGTATAACGTATGAAAGTTTATAATACGTGATACATGTCTTAAATTTAATAGAGTTAAACTGAGTCACTTTGCTTCGGAAACGAATTTTCGACACATATTGCTGAAACAAATTCAATCTGAACGGGGTGAAATCCAGAAGATTATGGAAAAAACACTTTACTCCTTCACGTCCGAAAGAAAGTCGAGGCTAGTGGGTAATGAGAAACACGGACAATACGGATATTTCCCAAGTCAGTCTCACCTCGGTAATAGCCAATCCTGAAGCCAAAGGCATACATTCCAAAGACGGAGGTAACTGGAATATCAGGCTTGTTGAAGTATTTAAGGGTGTAAGACCTCATTGCGGTCCTCGGCCCATACAACTCTTCGACGTCCTTTTCGTCCATCACTCTCCTCCCAGACGGATCCAGGCCTTTACTCAGGTGAAACTTCATCCAATTGGCTGCATCCAGAGCATTGGTGACCACACAACCGGACCCACACAGCAGGCCCCATCGCCTGTAACAGAATATCCCTTATCTAGTGAAACTGTAAAACAATGCTTCTTACCCCTTCTATACAATGCTATGCAGTTCAGGGCATGATTGGTTATGAACTAAACGTGAGGGTGCATACCGCGAAATGGAAAGAAATATTGCAAGATTTCTAGGGATTTCAAGACGCAAAGATTGGACTAATAATAAACCTTTATTTCTGCCTTTATTTCTGTGAGATGCATTATGATAATATCATATATATCTCACAGGTGACACTGTGAGAAGCATTATGATCATATCATATATATATCACACAGGTGACACTGTGAGATGCATTATGATCATATCATATATATCTCACAGGTGACACTGTGAGAAGCATTATGATCATATCATATATATATCTCACAGGTGACACTGTGAGATGCATTATGATCATATTATATATATCACACAGGTGACACTGTTAGATGCATTAAGATCATATCATATATATCTCACAGGTGACACTGTGAGATGCATTATGATCATATCATATATATCACACGAGACTGAGACTAACCATTGTTAACATAAGTGTCATGAAAGGTTTACAGTGATCCAAGATCCTTACATTGAATTCCAAATATAATTTGTTTTCTCGTCTTTGTCATAACTTGACGAATGACAAAAGGAGACCAAGGTTTAAAGACATCCACTATTCTTGTGTCGTAATAGTGGCGTTTCCGTATACATTATTCGGACATTGTCAAGCAAGACCTAAATCACGGTGTGAGCAACTATACCGAGCATTAAATCTATCTATGGTATTATTCCTCTGCACTGACATTCCATCTTTATACATACATTAGCCTGTTATTTCTTACTGCGAAAAGTCCACACTGACAGGTGCAGGGGACCCGTCCTTGACGACGTAGGGCTTTGCAACCTGATTTTGGGAGAAGTCCAACGTGGTGGAGAACGACGACGACGTCATCTGCAGTGGATTATAAAGCTCCTTCTCTATCAGGTTCTCCCACGTGTCTCCTCCCACCACCTCCGCTATCCGGGTCACCAGGCCGTACATCAAGTTGTTGTAGATGTAGCTGCTCCTCCATGTTCCTGTACTGCCCAGGTAGCGGATTCGACTGGTAACACATGAGTCAGTGAGCTTAGGTTTTCTCCGCTTTTAGCAATATTCCAGCATTATCACAGTGGTGGACACCAACAATGGGCTTCACACATTGGTAACTATGTGGGAATCGATCTGGATCTAAGGCGTGACGAGCGAACGCTTTAACAACTAAGCTAACCTACCGCCCCGTTAACGCATGAGATAAACGGTAATATAGGACACGCAGTGGTAACACATAGGACAAATGGTAAGATATACTTAGATAAAGGGTAATATACGGGACATGCTGTGGTAGCACATAGGACAAATACTGAAATAGTAAGATATACTTAGATAAAGGGTAATATATAGGACACGCTGTGGTAGCACATAGGACAAATACTGAAATAGTAAGATATACTTAGATAAAGGGTAATATACGGGACATGCTGTGGTAGCACATAGGACAAATGGTAATATTACTAAGATAAAGGGTAATACATAGGACACACTATAATAGCATATAGGAAGGAGCACTTGTATTTTATCACCACAACATTTAGCAGTTCTGACAGCACCAAGACATGTTAGATGAATGTTGTCGAATAGAACATCCGATTTCATATGTTTTGTAAACATCTATTATTTTGAAAACCGATGCGATCGATTGCAAGGTCAGCTATAATGTGTTACAAACCAGGGGTGGTTACAGCTTTTTGAGAAAGGGGGGGTGCATACTATTGAATAAGGAGGGGTCCACACTTCATTTTCACCCGAGTTTCAATGGTCATTTAACAAACTTTCAGCAGAAAAGGGGGGGGGGGGGGTAATGCACCCTGCAAATCCACACACCCCCCTTCCCTCTGGATACGCCTATGCAACACATGATAACCGGTAATAAAAACAGAAATGTCTTATCTGTCACAAAGTACGACGGCCTTTAACAGACAACATATGCTGCTGAGCTTATGCGTTCTACATACAGGTCGCCCTAGGCCTAATATCATTTCAATATTTATTACTGCTTATATTTTTACAGTTAGCTAATAGCATATTAAGCACGTGGCAGGCAGATCGCAATATAACGACTGAATTATACGGGCAAATATATTCCATACCATCTGGTTGTGGCGATAACCAGACAGGGTCCGAGGATTCTTGAAGATGGCCATGACATGCACAAAATGTCGGTACTGTTTAATCTGCACTAAAGGCACATGTACAAAATTGTGTCCTTGAGACAACCAGCTTGGTTAATTTGCTTTTGTTATTCATGCTCAGTTTTAGCTTCAAAGCTATGATACGATTATAAATTCATATAACGATTATATTATTGTACTCTGAGACGGGTGTAGAGACAATAAATTTGCATTTATGGACAGGCATATACTTTTAAGTGACAGCAGTCAAGTCACGGTCAACAATCCACGTGACATATATGATGTTATGTGGCAGTGTTATCAGATGTGTAAGAATATACCTGTTGACATTCGGAAGGGGCAGTAATGTACTCTAGTGTTCTGGCCTTGTTCCTCAAAGCGATGTTACGACTCAGTAAGCGATCGGAGTTACGATCATCTTAGTGCTACGACTGCCGTAAGTATATGTTAAAGAATGGGAGTTAAGATCATCTTAGTGCTACGACTGTCGTAAGTCTATGTTAAAGAATGGGAGTTACGATCATCTTAGTGCTACGACTGTCGTAAGTCTATGTTAAAGAATGGGAGTCACGATCATCTTAGTGCTACGACTGTCGTAAGTCTATGTTAAAGAATTGGAGTTACGATCATCTTAGTGCTACGACTGTCGTAAGTCTATGTTAAAGAATGGGAGTTACGGTCATCTTAGTGCTACGACAGTCGTAAGTCTATGTTAAAGAATGGGAGTTACGATCGTCTTAGTGCTACGACTGCCGCAAAGTCTATGTTAAAGAATGGGAGTTACGATAGTCTTAGGGTTAAGATCGCTTTGAGGAACTGGGCCCTGGAAGGTACTATAGAGTACGACAACCCCATGAGCCTTTCCATTATATACTGACACAGCGAGTTGGAGAATCTTCAGGAATCAGAGCTTACTCTTGCCTCTCATCTGAATAACATCTCAAATAATTTCAGCTTGGGAGTGTTTTTTATGCACAGACTATAGTCCGTTTGGCTCAAAAGCGGACCGATGAATTGCAATCTAACTCGAAAACTACTAAACATATAATACTCAATGAAACGCAGATCATAATCAAAACATCAGACCAACTCTGTGATTTGTTTGCAGAATTTATGTCCTAAAATTAAAAAGCTGTTAAACAGCTCATTAAAATTTTGACACAGTTCACTATTTGTTACCAGTAAGGAGTGCAGAGAAAGGGACAGCCAGGTGTTAGAGAAGCACGTGCACAAGTGCCGACAAAGTTATTGATTCATTAACCTGTGCTGTGCCGTATCCATCCTTTCTCGCACACCTGACTGTCCCTTTCTCTGCACTCCTCCCTCGTGCATTGTCAGGGCATTGTACAAAATCTACTGTCAAAACGATATCTCCTCGGAGATATCGCTTGATTTCACACAAGCAATATCTCCTGTGGAACACAGTTTTGGATGATAAATTCCAGTTATATTATGACAGCTCTGCTTGACAGGGGTCGGTGCAGAAATTGACATGGAATAGATCTGAATCGTTTTCGATCTCCAGATCAGTGTAGAATTTCAATGTATTTGAAGTGTACTTACCTTGCGAGATTGGCTCGGGTCAGGTTGGTGTCGAAGCGTATGCTGTTGAACGGTCGCAAGCCTGTTCGGTGAGACAGTATGTCCTCCAGTGTCGTGTATTTGGTCCTAAATTCATCAGGGAAAGCAAACTCATCTCCGAGAATATCCACAACCCTCGTGGACAGCGTGATACTGCAAAAATATTTTAAGAGTAGAGTACTAGTACATTTAAAATAGTCAGTTCTTGCTTCTTTAAGTCTCAGATATATTTCACGTGTGGCTTTTTTGTATTGTTTAACGGGGCGGTGGGGTAGCCTAGTGGTTAATGCGTTGGCTCGTCACGCTGAAGACCCGGGTTCGAATCCCCACATGGTTACAATTTGTGAAGCCTATTTCTGGTGTCCCCCGCCGTGATGTTGCTGGAATATTGCTAAAAGCGGCGTAAAACCAAACTCAGTCAGTCAGTCAGTATTGTTTAACGCCGTACCCAGCAATACTCCAGCTTTTTTTCGGGCGGTCTGCAAATGATGGACCACACAATCCAGTGACTATCATCATAAGCATCGATCTACACAATTGGGGTACGATGACGTCCATCAACCAGGTCAGCGTGCCCTCCTCCATCCCGCTAGTCGCCTCTTACGATAAACATGGGTTACTGAACACTAATTATTCACAGATTATTCCACTTGTAGGACTTGATATAGCTGGAAATTGCTTGAGTGTAAACGATTTAATATGTAATATTATTCCTGCAATTATAGTGGTTGCTAGGGACGACCAGGCGTGGCATTGCAACAATCTGGTCTCAACACAAACCTGAATGTCAGACATCTGTTTCAGTCCCTGGAGGGTTGTGTTAGTTTCACGGAAAATACAGGAAGGTAAAATATAAACACTTACAGGGTATATCGTTGGCTCAGGAGTGTGCGCGTCTGTGTATCTGTGTGCGCGCGCGCACACGTGCGTGTGCATGTAAGTTGAAGTATTAATGTGTGTGTGCGTGGATGTACGTGGGTGTACTCACGTGTGTTCATGTTTGTGTGTCAGAGAGTGTGTGCGAAGCATGTTCCACTGTGAAATCCTTAGCACCTCTCTAAACAAATGATTGAACAAAAGGAATAACATGGGCTTATATAACACACATAAAAAAATGCATTAATGCAAGTTCATTGCCAAGGAAAGTCTGCCACTACTAAGAAGAACATGGAACGTGTACTTACTCACTTCGTCGACTTATAAGCTTCAGTAAGAGCGTTGCGGCAAATGCCTTTGACAAGGATGCTACGCCAAAGAGCGTCTCATTCGTCACGGGGGTCTTCTCCTTGATGTCTGCCTCGCCGAAACCCTCTGCAAACACGACTTCTCCATCTTTGACAATCGACACTGCAAGTCCGGGGTTTGAGGTTTTATGGCACCTCCATGTAGCTGCTATGTCAGACTTCAAAGCTTCCAGATCCACTGCAGCGAAAACACCGGGAAGGACAACACAAGACAGACAAACGAGCACAAACCGTGCACTTCTCACCCACGCCATCGCGAAGACTCATCTGGCCAGCTGGGTTTGGGCTGTTTATAGTACGCAGCGCTTTGAATAAATCATGGAGAGCTGACTGGAAGTGATACACCGGGAGAGGGGGGGGAAGAGGGAGGAAAGAAAAGAGATAGGAGAGGGCGTGGGGAGGGTGATTAGCAGGGGGAGCAAGGAACAGCGTATGAGTGTCAACACATGTCTGACAGCTTGTAATCAATATTTTAATGTAACATGTAGGTTACAGCATGTAGGCTTACATATGTTGCAGATGTTATGTTGGAACAATACTCCCTATTAATATTAGCGAGATTTCACCTTAAAGTTCTCAGACGGTTGTCTGGAGATCAGCACATGGCTTCATTGATGATACGCGTCACTAAATGAATTTGAAACTTTGAGAATTCGATTAATCACCTATGCATCACTCAGGTTCAATACATTTACACGACAGACACACATTTATATCTATAGATAGAAATTTTCTCATTTTCTCTGATTGATAAGACTATATTGAAACCAATGAATCGGATACTGTGCACGAGTTATTCCACATAAGTTGTTCAAATTGAGCCTTGACTGTTTATGTTTTTATTCCAAAAAGTCCATATTTCCAAACTCTTGCTAGACTAGCAGAGAAGCTATGAAGTCTTATGTTACACAAAATATGTCTTTCCTTTTGGTAAAATTACTTATCACCATTGATAATTATTATCTAGTGATTAGCGTCGCCACTATTTGGTGCTATCAGAGACCGCTTCAGAGCGCTTCCTCAACAGCAAATCTAGCACCCGTCCTAGACTAACATCTAGTCTCTGAAATGAACATATTTTACAGAAAAGATTCCTAAATTATAATAATAAAATATTGTGAAAGGAGCCAGAAGACTCTCTTCAAACTGTGATAATATAGACTTGACAAATATTCTAGACTTTGTTTCAGGGCCTGTATTGCAGACTACACCCGTCCATGTTACTATGTTTACTGCACGGAGACATGCCGGAAACACTGACGTGTGTGGCATTATCATCTAATGGAGGGTGTTATCGGTGCAATAAAGCAATCTGATAAACTTGGTATCCAAATCTGATAACTATGCAAATTACGTCAATCCACAAACTACTCTCACAAAACTCCATACACGCCATGCGAATCCTAAAACGTTTTAACATTTCATTGATGACGTCGTCGCGAGTTTACATTGCGTGGACGAGTTTGTAAACAAACATGGCTGCTCCCATGATTACAATTGGTGATTCTGTAAGAATTGATGACAGAGGTTCTGGAGTCGTTACTGCAGTAATCGACTTTGGAAAACATGAAACGGAGTACTTCTTTCAAATTGAAGGTACGGATTATGAGGCACGAGTGAAAGGCAATCGTCTAAGAAAGGTACCAACCAAGGATTTCGATCTCTCGATCACAATGCAGACGACGAACCGATTCCGTCAGGTATCAGAAACTGATATTGATGAGGTGATTACCAGCAATGAAAACAGAAACACTGCCAGGAAAACCCTGCCCGATTTTGTTGTTCTTTTCAGACAGATGGAGTTACGTTTGCACTGTATTAGCGACTAGTCACAACCATATGCCGCCGTCATGGACGACCTTGGTGTACCGCTAAGTATTCTTAGTTTATACTCGATTTTCTTCATATAAATTCACGTATGATTTGCTTCTCTTTTTAGAGTAATTATAAGAATGACATTATATGAGGAAGAGATTATTAACCTCGTGTGTTTCCGTATCATTAATATCATAGGAAAGGCTCGCATAATACAATTTATATAATTAATATATGATATTAATCATACGGAAACACACTCGATTAATAATCTCTATTTATTAAAATTATAATAATTTATTAGTCAATATATACTGCGCTAAATCCAAATCAACAGCATGTCCATAGCGCAGACAGTTAATTATTACCCCGGATAAGCCGAGCTGCATGTGAGGCGCTAGAAGGATATAGTCACATGACTTATCCCACCGGGTACCCATGTTCTGCTGGATGAACAAAGGCAGTTTTGAACAAACTCACTTACCTAAGGTGAGACCACATGTGTCATATCTGCTTCGTTGTGGGACAGAACTGAAGTCCTAGAAACCCTCAGGAGTCAAGCTGCCAAACACGGTCACCCATCCAAGCACTCTCCGCGCCAAACGTTGCTTCACTTTAGCTGATTTGTGACCTGAGCTCTATGCACAGGACCACACACCATCACAATACTTCCAGCAAACAAAGCATTATTAACGTGCGGGTTTAGTGCTTCTCGTCATGCACCGCATCGAAATGGTAACAGTTTGTTTAATGCTGATAACTTTCTATTCAATTTGTTAAATGTCACCACACAAAATCACTGTATTGCCCAAATTTACTAACGTTAGGAAATATACGTTTCATCCGGCGGCCATATGAACAACGTTGGAAATCTACGTATCATCTGGCTGTCAGATTTACACACGTTTAAAAGGGTGTTAAAATTAACGAACACTCAACTCTGTATTTACATGTATTTCACAGGTGTGTAAATCTGGCCATTGTTTTCATGTGTTTTCTAACATGTGTAACATATGTAAATGCTGTGATTGTAGGGCATGCATTTTAATACCTTTGAAATCTCGTATGGACAGGGTTAGGTTTGCCATATATTTAGTACACGCGTAAATGGTTGGTAATGGATAAATATAGTTTTACAAGATTAACACTACTTTAACAAATTTCAATGGTTATGTAATGTAACTTTCACATCGGATTTGTTAGCGCGTCGGACCACGCCATAATGCACGGAGATCATTAGAATCACATGGCGAAGTGATACCCATGACTGATCACCACTATTAACGTGCCTGCCTTTCTTGACATACAGATGATGTCTGTTTAAAAGGTTCAAATATTGGGTCTATGGGCTAGAGCGATATGTATGTTAGGGAGTGTGTGTGTGTGTGTGCATGTATGTGAGAGGGAGGGGTGTTTGATGGGGAAGGCCTAGGGTGGGGTGATGGCGGTGGGATACTGATAAGCCTTTCTGCAGCTGGTCAGTATGTAATACCGTTTATACATTTTGCAATGGAAATTACATTACAGGTTAAATAACTGATCTAAGGTACACTTCTTATATATAACATGCAAGGAGAGACTGCTTATTGCAATAAAACACAGACAGGTGTGTTCACACAGACATGAACCGGTAGGTCCCTAAGTTTAGTGCACACTTGTATGAGTTATCAGACTGATCATAGCTGCACAAATTTTATTATCTATTCTTTCAAAAATGATGATTACAATGTATTAATGATTCCCGGTGTAAATTACTGTTGTAAATGTGTAAACATGCACATACGTACTTGGAATAACCTCTTTTTTATTCGAAATCTAGATATTATCCCATACGGACGTTTTCTAAAATGTCAGTTCCCCGACGGAATATACATAAGTGTACACCTATTTTGATTCCAGTTCTAGGGTAGATTATAGAAAATTCTTGTGATTACAATTAGTTCATAAGCTTAGGTAACTACGCAGTTCCGATAATTACTGGAAGTTTACCACCTGACAGCATTTGTTACTCATGCATTTTCATTTTTGCTTTTTGCTCTCTGATTTGTTATACATTACATAATTATGTTAATCATTTTGGCATCCCGATATCATGGAATAAATGTTTAATTATTAATCTATCAAAGTGCCGATACTTATTGTCTGTATGCGTTACTGTTATTGAGTGAAACTGTTAAATGTACCTTAGTACACAATTTCCAGGAAATAGAAACTGAAAATTGCTAAATAAATGGAAAACTAAATTTGGTAAAGATTGCAAACAATTATTATTCATATACCAGTTTCAAAGTATCAGTGTGCAGATGTTCAATGGAAAAAAAGACCAAGTAATTTGGAAGATTCACAGACTAACAGTATATCTTTACGGTATTTGCTTACAGACATATATAGAAACTTATTTTTACGGTTATGGAACGAGTGGGGAAAAACATCTGCAAAGCATCTGAGTCAGCTGAGATTATCCTTTAAGAACATCATATGTACATTTAACAATTACTTATCATTAACTGCAACCAAAGCATTACATAAAGGCCATATTTCCAGACAGCATGACATCACCTTTGGCCGGAGTTCCAAATATTTGACACCGAAACCTGTCAGTTAACGCATAGGAAATAACCCTTGTGTTTTACAATGATGCTTAATCATAGTCACTATGAACTATAGGTTGCCATGTGTTTTCCAATATGACTGAGTCAGTGAAATACTAATACAGTCAAATCCCGATGAGTCGAATGCCGGTGTCTCGAATATGCATATAACTCGAAGTACCTGTCGGTCCCGACCATTTATTACTTGGTCCCCAGCGATTCGACTCATCGGGATTTGACTGTATTTACCAAATAAGATTGTAATGAAGACTTTCTTCAAGCAGTGACTTAACGCCATACATAGCTAGACTTGCTTAGATCATTAAAAATAGAATACAAAACAAAAAAAAAACCAAAAAAAACCACCAACTAACAACTTCATGTAAGGCATCATAGATATTTCACAAACATGGTACAGGACCCTTCCCCTCATTAGTGTATTGCCTCACTACTTGCGAATTAAACGTTGGCAGATGTAAGGCGTTAGCATTACAGTAAGGGCTCGGCGGAAGGGGAAATAATATCGTTCTGTGACTGTGAGACAGACTGGGAAAATATGTAGAAAACCAAAAACTTGGACAACAGACCATTGTTTGGGTATTTTAATTGTAAATATGATTCAAATATCTTAGCCTAAATTTCAATATCCTTACATATAGTATAACAGCACGAGTATTCATTTTGTCTTTTGTCTTCTACCCGTCCCTACTAGACTAACAACTAGTCTCTGAAATGAACATATTTTACCTTTTATGTAGGTGGCTTGAAACTTGCTTTTACAAAGGACAATACATTCGATCACAATACTTTTCGTTTTACAGCTTCTTTTCTCTTAGCATGGTGACCTCAAAACTGTTTTATATTCTAATCGCTGATTAAAGAGTAAGA